CAGAAACAGCAAAGCGAGGACAGATAGAGGCACACAGATACGAGTGTGGTGGTGGTGTTTTAGGGACGAGAAAAATAAAAACATGAAAGAGAGGAGGGAAAGACAAAGGGTGGTGGCGGTGGGTGGGTCACATGAAACAAATCTTCCATGTTTCCTATCTGCTGTCCATCAGTTTGTAATCTTCTGTAAATACATTTCATATAAGTTTATTTGTCTAAAGTGAATCCCTGCGAAGTGGAGGAAAACAAAGTTCAAACAGCACTAATGCAATTATGGTGAGATCAGAGCGAAGATCCTATCACTCCCTTCGCTTCAAAAACAGAGTCGCACCACAAGCAACCCCTCATATGACAGCAAAGCGGTAGACGCCAGGGTGCGTGGAATCCTGAAAGTAAAGAACAAGGGAGCCAGTGTGTGCTTATTGGATCAAAAAGGAGTCTGCTTAGATGTAATAAAAATAAAAATATCAATATGGATAGTATATTTCTTACCTTTCAGTGTTAAGACATGGAATCTATAACATTGCGGGCTTTGTCAAAATGATGGCTTTTGAATCTTCAAACAAAGGTCTCTACTACATATATGGCCCCATTCAAACATGCAGACAGTTCCCAGTTCTCCCACAGACTGCATTTTAAAACTTATTTCTGCACTTGAAAGTTAATGAATGACCATGGTGAGCCCGAGTAACCTTCGTACCCATTAGCCAAATCATTACCCAATAATAAAACATCATTACAATGATTAATCACTCTTTTAACAAATATGTAGGAATGAGAGTATTTCATCAAGAAAAAAGTTGTGACCTTTACTGAAAAGTAACTTGTTCAGACTTGTTAACTTGCCAGTGCAGTTACATAATGCATTGCGTATTTTATGGCCTGTAGTTTGCATATAAAAAGTGGATGTACAGTATATCCATCCATACTCTTTCCTCAGGTGTCCCATATTTCCCGTTCATACAGTAAACGTAATATGTTAAGAATTTCCCGACCAATGTTTTATGATGGTATATCATTTAATCTGGCATGTTAACCACTGGGACACGCTGCTGATCATATACCTCCTTCCTGCATTACACCACACACCGTCACAGTATCCCCGCACAATGACCCCCATTTAAAGTGACTGCCTGCTCTCTGTGCTTTGAGCAGAGGGGCATTAACATCGAAACGCCATCAAAGCTTCAGACGGATCTCTAAGGAGACGGGAGCTTTACGGTCTGACTCCAGCCGCTGGCTCCAGCTTAGCTCTCTCACACCTCTGCGTGTCAAACTCCAAGGCTCCGAGGCAAACGCTTCAGCACAACCTGAGAAAAAAATAAAACGGAGGTGGGTGGGAGTGATGGGATGGGATGGATTTTACATGGTCTTTATATTATATTAGTGTTCATTCATGAGTTGGAAGGGAGGAACTTGCCAAGAGTTGGCAGGAAACTGTTCACTCCCAGTCACTCCCCCCTCTCCCTCTCTGGAGGGGAGGCCTCTGTTAGTGATTTAACAGGGTACACGACCTTGAGGAAACCAGAGTTGGTAAAAATGTGGGGCAATATGGGTAAAATCAAAACATAACTCCGGTAGAGCAATCCTGTAGGTTATGTAAACACATCCTGCTCACAGTGGCGTAATTTATCAACAGAAGGTTTATGGTTACGTGTTAGGGGAGCACATGGTAGAACGGCAGGGGGTATGCTAAGGCTCATTCCATAAGTTGTAAATGTAGTATTCCGTGAAATGTAAGCATCAGTTGGTTGGGTATAATGTTAAGAATAAAACAAATTGCTACATAAATATTTTTTTTTCGTTCAGTGTATCTTGAGTAGCTACCTTCCCATCGAGTCACATCTGGATCCATTCACCAAAACATGTTCAATGGTCTTACTGTTCAAGCAGCACACTGCACCCTTTTCGTGTGAGACAAACGAGGGCTTTAATGAATGAACAAATAAAAGCAAGGTCATGTCTATCTCTGGGTGTATCCTCAGCAGTACAGGTGCACCAGGGTTAAGGCTGTGGGGCGGGAGAGTCTGTCTGGCCAGGGCTAGTGATGATAGAACCGCAAGTTAGGGAGTATTGTGTGTGTGGAGATAGTAACAGCTGAGTGTGTGTGGAGACGTTGCACCACCTGCAGCCACTTATCTTCTTCCATCTGGCCCCTGGAGGACAGATGGAGGAGGCACCTGAATCTCCCAGACAGTTCAGTGAGTGGAGCCTCTAACTGGGGCACTGTGACCATGGAGGTAGGAGGTCACGAGGGACGAGACAGTGGGACTCACTCTGGACATATGGAGCCAGTTTGCCTCACTAAAAGCTAGTGTCATGTCTGCAGCATCTCTACCTTGTCATTATATGTCCCTGCATGCCCTAATTTCAGCCCCCATGGCTCCCTGGGATACCTATAATGATGGCAACGCAGAGGGGAGGGCTGGTGCCAGTGGAACATGCCCCAGGGTTCACAGCGGTGGTGACTCACGCTATAACAAGGAGTGATGAGCAAGCTAGCTGGACTTTTAGATACAACACACAGGGAAATTAGAGGTTGCACATGGTGTAAACATGCACATAAACACGCAAACCACTGCCTCCACTTCCACCAGCTGCCACTCTGTGGACCCATGATTGGTGGGGGACCGTGCCCCTTAGCCCGGGGACCTGCAGGACACTCAGGGCCTCTGGAAGTATATGGAGACGTGTGTATGTAGCATGAGTGTCCGCACTCCTGTAGCCTGTGTTAGTGCAGTATCCAGGACTAATTCAAAGCTCTGTTGAGCCCAGCGCACCACCAGGCGCTGCACTTTAATGTCAAGGGGGCATGGGCGGGGCCTACGGTGCGCCGTGCAATTATCAAGCATGATGGGACACGGAGAGAGCAGAACATCTGGCACTGGTGGACGGGGGCGGGACGCACCTCCAACCTCCCTCCCTCCCTCCTCCTCTCTGCACAGGAGAGGCTTTCCTTTGATCTCCAGCTGGAGCTGTCTGCCTTGCCTCTCCAGATCAATCACACCGGCACAAGATTAGCTTAACCATCGTCATACTGTACTCAACCTAAAGGTTTTAGGCAATAGGTAAACATAGTTTGTGTGTTCTGCTGTGTGCTGTGTGTTCCCCTGCTGCACATAGCCCAGCAGGTCCTCTTCTACTCATACCTGTTTACCCCTCTGTAGTGCACAGTCAGCCGTCTGTCTGTATTTATCTTTTTCCCACTCGCAGACAGACAGGCGGACTCCCAGATACTGGAAACAGGGTTATAGTTTAACTTCAAAGTAGCCTGCCCTGTAACTAATATTGGACATTGCTTACTGGGGGATAATTTACCGTGCAAAAGAAAACAAACAGCTCTGTCATTAAGACAAAGTGTATTTATGCTTCATAGGCTCGTACTGTAATTAATTATGATCTAATAACACAACACATGGTGTGAGGTGAGTCACAGATAGCACAACATTTACACAACATTGCTGTCTGTTTGCATGGCTGATCTAGCTAAAGTCTTCTAATGATTAGAGCTGTGAAAACAGGCCGAAGACATAATAGATGAAGGAGGTCTTTGCAGACATGTGTTTGCCAGCAAAGAGCTCCACCTTGTCATATTTAGGACATTATAGAGCCATGTGACATCATATTCCTGACTCGCGGCTACGCTGTCCTTTGTCCAATTAAGCTTGTTGTTGTGTTAGGTAATGGAAAACGGATGTGTCCTTTTAAAAAAGAGAAGAAAGCAACAAAAAGGAATGGCTTAATTGGCAAGTTAAACAAAATAGTTCAGTAAATCTCTGTGGCCTCTTTGAAAAGGGAGGTTTCAATCGAGACCAGGAACGGTATTGAATAAAAAAAAGGCAAAAGGAAGACCTTCCTGCTTCTAACAACAAAGTGGTCGTGCAAAAGGTCAGAAAACGATTCAATCAGCATGGCACTGATGTCATCCCGATGGAAATGCAATATACTGTGTGTATTAAAAATCCCACAATGTCCAAAAAATCTGGATTCATGTCCTCTTGCTTTGTTGTGTGCAAATCAAATTGTATCCTATGACGAGGAGCACTGTCTTCCTTTTCTTCCTTTTGGTTGCCCAGTGCCTAGAATAGGAAGGCATTACAAACAGATGTTGCACGGAAATGTTTGGAGCACATCTTGTTCACAAAGGCCCCTCTGGTAACAAAGAAAAAATGAATTGAATTATATGATATTTCTTTTAATAGGATTCACTGGGAGTTTTTCAAAGCCTCTGTCCCACAAAGACATTTTCATTGGAGAAGGAAATGCCTTTGAAATACCAACCAAGCTATTAGGTTATGAAGGAAAGAACAAAATCTTGGTCAAACTTCTTCCATGTTGGTTTTAAATACAGTCCTGCTGACTCTTCTTGCAGACAATGGGTTCACAATGAAATGCTCACTGTCATTTTAATACTTTGGAACTTTTTCTGTGATGTAATGCCAAACTTGATTTAAGTCCCTTCAAAATTCAACACTATGGTTACTGTGTTCTAACCACCACAAATAATGTATATCTCTCTTTCTTCTCTAAATATGGGTTTGGGAGTTTCTTCACTTTCAACAACTAGCTTGAGGCACGTTGAAAGAACGTTTTTTTTGCTGCCACTCCCCAACTGGAAATACACCTTAGAATCAAATGCACAGCAGAATACGTCCTCTTTTCCCCCAGTGAGAGAGGTTAAAGGTTCACAGGTATTCTTTCACACACAGTGACGTCACGAGCTACCCACAATGCAACGCGCGCCATATATATATATATAAATACGCCATTTTCCTGGAGGTGCTAATATCCTGGAGGTGCTAATATAAACAGCTAGCTAACGTAGCCAGGCAGAGCGCACTAGGTTTTTTTTCTGAATTAACGACCGAAGAAATCGCTGCATATGTCTTCGGATTACATCTCTGGACTTGAGGGGTGTGCTCTAGATCGTTACCAGCGTAAACTAGAGCTGTGTGGGTTGTCCGATTGCCCTTACAGACTGCCTGCAGATGTATGGAAAAACGACTCTCGAAAGTGGCCTTCGGTCGATGTTGGCAGCATCTACGTCTATCTTCTGGAAACACCAGGTGAATACCCCACTTGTCACAATAATATTATCATGCCAATGCATATATGTGGTATTTTAGAGTTGACTATATTGATTAAGGCAATAGACTATGATATTCTGGTTGCACCTCGCGTGAAATGGCGGATACCGGAAGTACGGTGTCGCCCTCGGCCCAAAACCCGTATGTGTGTGTGAAAGAATAGGCTTGGGGAATGGACCTGCTGTACCCTCATCCCATATATAGAATGTAGCCAGTTAGCTCTTATTAGCTTAACAACAATGCCGTAGTTATTCCTAATCAACCAACTTAACTTAGAAAACAAACTCTCTATTTATTTAACAATCTAGGTTAATACAAGTTAGTTGTTGTTATGACACACAAGCACCACAGTTAAGAAAGCCTGTGTTAGCATTAGCTACTGTAACTCTTGTTGTCTAATGAACACAAATAAAGACGGTCTGCACTCTTTTACACAGTGCCTATTATCTGAGGTACATTTCTAGAATCAAAACACTGTCTAGGTTACTTTGAATTAACCCACTGCTGTTACTGTGGGTATTTTTTTGCTGATTCAAGCTTCTATACCTATAACCCTAGTTAGCCGGAGTTGAGTTTTAGCATCCTTCCCAGAAATATACCATTGTGATGCGTAGCGTTTTCGGGGCCTCTGCAATACGTGTAACTCATGTCATTACACTGTTTGAACAGGAGAGGTTAGTCCTAATTACACGCCTGCGGGGAAGCTTGAGGAGAAGAGGCGCCAAGGTGAGCTTCTAGCCTGTGTATGTAATAGAGGAGAATGTGAGGAATTACAAAAGACCAACGACAGGAACGGGCCGACAGAAGCTTTTCACAGAGGTTAAGAGGCAGGTAGGAGGATTCCTCGCCATTCCGCAAATTGCTCTCCATCAGGCCATGAGAACAGGTTGTGTGAAATGACAGACACAAAGTTTGCCAGACAATAAAACACTTCTGTTGTGTGTGGCTGTCACCAAGCTACTAATCATAAAGTGTGGAGAGTCCTTCAAGTCCACTATTCCGCATTCCACTAGCATGTCATTTTGTAGACTACGTCATGTTATTCTGCCTTAATCTGAAGTTTAACATGTTGCTTTAGAGTTTGGTTCCTTTATCATATCACGTTCCCCTACACAGCACCAATATCTTGACACTGACCTCATGTTCACGGAATGATACGACAGAAAGAGGTTATGTTTTTGTGATATGGGTTGTAACATACCTCAACCCCTAATCTAAGGCTTGTGTAAATAAGGTCTAAGCCTGGACCACTTCAAACAGACTTGCACAGTATGGTCTTTGATCAAGCGTCACTTTGCTATTTATCCAATAATAAAACAGTGCTTCATCACAGAAACCTGATGTTTTTCCTTCCAGTTTCATTGGCTTATCTCTGAAGGCCCCTCCCTTTTTGTCTCTCACAACAGATGGCGTCCTCTCAGGGTCTTCTCAAGGTCACACAGACATGGTCTAAGCGATAGGGGAAGTGGCACCGGACCAGGAGATATCCTCAACATACTTGTGTTCCTCTTCCAAGGTTGTCTTGGTGAACAAGCACACAGCAGATAATGTATGAGAGCCTCCAACTATGGAACATGTTTCCCCGAGTGTTATCGTGCAGAAAGATACCGAGAGAAGGAAACACGATGGTTGGAAGGGTGGTGCTTTTTAAAACATTATCACACAGCAACAAGTTTGTATTTTGCTGGGTATTATTATCAAGTGTGGGATTTGTAGAGACTACACAGAGTTTATCCAGTTAAGCTAGAGGAGAAATAAATAACAAGTTGCATAATTCTCTGATTAGGACATTTTATAACGGTGTAAAATCCTTATCCAAAATACATAGCAATATAAAATCATGCACATGTTTTAAGAAAACCTTCGTTCATCCACCATTACAATAATTGTGGTGGATGGAAGCGCTTTTACTGTCGTGGAGCTGCACAAAAGGCCTAATGTTCAAGAATGATGTCAATGTGTGACGATGATGCCACACCTGCCAAACATTCGACAACCAGCAATAGGAAAAAAATATTCAGATCAAAACTCTTTTTTTTTCTCATTTTCAACATGTTGTGTTTCAGATGTGATTATTAGATTTCTTTACATATCTGTCAGTAAAACTCTGTGAAAATGAGTGTGGCCTAAATTGCTGAGATTTGTGCCAAAAAACTATTTTAATTTCCTTTGTGTATTTTACTTATTGCAATGCATGTTCAATAGGGTTTCTCTTCATAGGTTTGACATGTACATTTATTTAGAGATTCCATCACTCCATTCATGTTGTAATTTGTAACTGATTTAGTAGAATTTACATATTGATAATAATAAAACTGGTGCAAACACTGATTACATTCAACTCATTGTCCTGAATCTAAAAGAAATACGGAAAACTAAATGAAATCTTAATGTTGGTGCAATAATAAAGTGATAAAGACCTTTGTTTGATAATTATCTCTAGAAAGTCTCTCGATGAATCTGTTGTTTGTGGCAGCACCTCTGCTCCTCCTCACCAGGGTTCCGTTTATCACAAATCTCTGGCCAGCTGAAACTGGGGCCGGGTATGGCTCGACTCGGCACAGCTCTGTCCCCCTGAACCCGGGAGGACTGCCCCGGACCCCGGCGCGCACACAAAGAATTCATTGAAAGGCAAAAAGCGAGGGAAGACAGTTTCTCAGGAAAAGGACAATGGGCGTTCTCCTCCATTTGGCTCACCCTTTCATCCTCGGACGTCCACAAGAGAAGCAATTGTTTGGACACTGCGATATGAGGCAAAGCTTTAGAAGACGCATCGCTTTTAATTAACTGTTGGTAATGATCTCATTATTGGGGCCGAGTGGGTTCCCTGGGCCCAGTGTTGTGCACAGGGGTGAGTCTGGGGTCATCGTTCTAAAGACCCCATGCTAACTGACAAAACATCGAGGAATTTGTCATGCCGCCACGGTGCATCAACTCAGACACTGTCTGGACCGTTTCATACAGAATTAAGGGAAATTATCTTTTAATATCAGTTAAACAAACAGTTGGGGGTTAAAACCTTCTCTGTGAACTGGTGTTTTCATTTGCACTCTGTATTTGTTTGCATTTTATGCTGGAAAAGGAGTTAAAAAATCCTCCAATGATATACGTTATAGTCAAAACAATGCACAGTATTCAGATTGTTTACATAATTTTCACCAAAGTTTTAAAAAATTATACAAAACCGATGCTTTATGTATTTCCTGCCTTAGCCCTACTAACATGTATCTGGGAGTGCATTTTCGAGAGTTACAGACTATGAAATCCCTCAAACTGGCCAAACATTCTCATACACTTTTGCTCCTACTTTTAAGACTAGGAGTAAAAGTCTTTTATCATATTGTGTAACTTGACATTTGACTCGGATCTCATTAATTACTTACAAAATGTTGCTTTTGTCTGTGTTTCAAGTGTTACCGTCATTGAATACTCCAACTGCAACTCTGAGATAAACTATAAAAAAACATCATAATTTCTTATTGACGGTGATACTGTCTGAACCAGCTTTTTTATTTGCTGAGGGTCAGTATAGAATTCTTCAAGAAGATCAGACAGTGGAGTTTTCTAGGTCTGAGGGTAACTTTGGGATCAATTCCTTGGGGTTATTCTGAGACGTTTGATAAAAAGGGGCTCTGGACTTCTGGCGATACTGAGGAGAGGAGGTAAAGGAGATATTGAGGGAGGAAAGGAAAGAGCCAGGACAGATAGCAAAAACGAGGCTCAGACTGAGCAGGAGGAACAGGATTTTTTCAAAATCTTATCTCCAGACAGGCCGGAGGAACGGCTAGCTTCCCAAGGGACGATCCTCAACCACTCCTATCCGCCTGCCTCATACATGTCTCATGATTGCGTGCATGAGTATATTCACATGCATTGCATTCATTTTAAAAAGGAAAAAAAAGGGGGGGATTTTTATTTATGAGTTTGGTGCTTATCTGATGGTGCAAAGTGTGTGTCTTCCTCTAGGGTTTGTCGTCTTGGTATATCACTGTCTGTCTGAAAGCCTTATCTGCCATCACAGTGGTCACACTGGTGGCTCTGTATGCCCTCGGCATGTCATGAGCAGTTACACAGAAGTAGCATACCGCTGAGATTGTCTTTGTTTGTCTAAATGTTGATGGGAAAAAAGACCCTATGCAAGCCTTTCTGCATTCTCTTTCAGTTTTAAAAGAGGTGCCACACATAGAGACAAAGACTTAATTATACTGTTTGTAATAAAGACCTAGCACAAGACCTGACGGTTTAATGGGTGTGGTAAAAACACTGAATCAACGGGTGTGGCTACAACTCTAATTATGGGATAATAGTGTGTAGCGTTTGCATCAGTTAAGTCTGCTCAGATAATGACAGCTCAGTGACATTTTCGTCCTTCGCTAGAAGACCTAGCGCCATGCCTGCTTGTTGGAAAGCATATGGTTTGCTGAAATGTATTTTATTATCTTTCACAAAGAGCCAGGGAACACCTGTTCTGGTCCGCTACAGAGCAAACTTCGAACTGCCAGTATGGAGATTGGTTCCTGACAAGCATGCCCAAATAAACATCCAACTAAAAACTTGTTCAAAAAGTTGGAAACTTCCACAATAAATGTTTGGCAGTTCCTTAAGAATAAAAATGTCTTAAATTTAGTATTTTCCTGACCTGTGTTCATTTCGTATCAAATAGTCCCAAAAACTAGGTGTCCCCCCTTATATGCATTCCTGTATGCTTTTCCACTGCATCTGACTAACGGGATTAGGTAAATAGGCTGATCACTGAACAAAACTTTATTTGAGAGGCAATTATGTTCTTGAACAACGCAGAGATTCAGTACTGTTCTTTATTGACTGTAGGATGTTACGTTAAAAAAAAAAACATGTGGAAACAGATATTATAACGTGCCCATTTCCAAAGTGTTTTATGCTTGAGAATGGAAACAACCAGTGCTTGTTGAAGCAAGAATTATACTTTTCTTGTCCACATAGCGACGAGGGCCACCCATGTGCAGCCTGAAATGTATGGCTGTCCGGACCAACGTGCCAACAACACGCAGGCCATACATACAGGAGCAGGCCATTTACTGTGTGGAAGCATATTGTTGACAAGTTGCCTTTGAGGCTTGCAGCAGTCATAGTTCTTGAGCAGTCAAAAAGTATTACCGCCAGGGCATGGACTTTTCTGGGGCCTGGGACTTTACCCAAGAACACAATTCAGATAGATATGAAAATGCCGGTAGGCTTCCAATGTTGCACGGTGTCCTTGTGGTCATGGTTATGGCACATTTAAAATCATTCGATTCCAGTCGTAGCATGTCAAACCGCTCCCCACATTTCCTGTCTATCTCTGAACTGCTGGAAAACAAATTGATAAAAAGGCCGCTTCTTAAATATCAGTATTTAAAAGTATGTCTTTCTCAACACCACACTGATACATCTGTGTCATTTAGATCTCTGGGACATTTAAAAGCCAACAAAAGAGCATTCCTGTAGTTGTCATAGCAGAATAAATCTCTTCTACTCCGAACCAAGATGCACACCAATAAAAAAAAACATTACAGATGTCTTGTAAAGGAGAGAACTCTACTTTTGTATCCTCCTAAAATCCAAAGGTGAAGTGGCTGAAAGAAGGGGAACAGTTCAGGCAGCAAAGTAAATGCATTTGACAAATCTCATGTTTGATGTGTTCTCTCTGCACTGCTTGGGGCTACATGGCTAATTCAATTGAAGACACTGAATTATTCTAAAATGGCTTTTATCGCCCGTGTTGTAGTGTTTTTCTCCATTTAGCAAGGCAGGCTATGACGGGGATGAATAGACACATTGTTTATTTGATTCATTATTTGGAGGTTTGCCAAGGAACCTATTACAGCTAATAGACCGTTCTGTGGTACATTATAATATAAACAGAATGTTTTACATGCCCATAAAGACAAAATATGAACGTTCCTATAGCGAGGCTCTAACTGGATCCATGTAGGCCACAGCAGCTCTAAACCCAGAGCAGAGGAGACGCTGGAAGGCATGCTTGGGCTTCTTAGGAGCTTCAAAGGAGGGGCGTTTCCTGGACTTTTTAAGACTAAACACAGGGAGAGCACGCAACATGGCGTGTATGTGTTTAGAGTACCTGAAGGCTGTAGATTGCACACTTGGACATTGTATGTGTGTGTGCTGTGTGAGTACATCAGTCTGTGGTCTTGATGAGTCAGTCGCCTCACTTCTAAGACTTCCTTTCTAAACATAGTGCGGTGGGCATCTTATGTCAAGTGGTATACTAGGGGAAGGAAAGAGGAAGAGTTCCTGATAAGAATGGGATAAACACTTCCAGGCTGACGTCCAGTTTGTTGTCCTCTACAGGTGCTGCATCTGAGTCAGTGCTACAGTACAACAAAGTGTAGTTACTGCTCCAAAGCCAATGCATCATCGTAAGGCAAGGCACGCTAACTGCCACTCTGAGACACTAAAAAGTGGATCTTTCATCCATGATGGATGAAACAGAACCTTTATACAAAGCTGTTTTGCATGTTTTTCAATATGAGTTAAAATTGCATGGACTGAAGAGCAATGCATTGCAAATCATTTTTAACCCCAACTTTCCATAAGCCACGTATTAAAATTATTAAATTAAAATGTTCCTCAGGAGAACAACAGTTTATAGTAAACAAGGTTAGAAATGACTTCCAGTGATAGAAAGTCAAGTGAATCATGCATGAAAAATGCAAAGGAGATACTACACATTAGTCACGCCTTAAAGAAGAAGACAAAAAGGCGTAAATAAACAGTATCTTTGTGTTTTAGACAACCTTTAAAAAATGGATTTCTTAAAAATATTTTTTAAGTTTTTCTATCAAAATCAGAATTGGTTTTATTAACAAGCAGTTTACACATACAAGGAATTTGCTTTGGTGCATATAAGTCACAAAAAGAAGAACACAAAAAAAGGAGCTATACTAAAAACGATTTTAAAGACAATTCAACTATTAGCCTACGAATGTTCAAACTGCATTAATTGGACATAAACATTCTATAACAAATTTAAGTCAAATATTCTCTCTCAAATCGAGAGCAAATCAAACATTTTCTACAACATTTTTGTGTGGTGAAGCTCCACAATCTGGCACGAGAGGAAGCTAGTGCCTACGGAGACGGCTAGCTAGTCACTTTCACGTACTCCTCTGTGAGCCCACTGGAGCTAAACTAAATGTACCTAATTTATCACCTCAGTTTCTTAGCTGCTTTGGTGCTTGGTGCCAAGGTATGTTCGGACCAGGTACCCTACCGATACAATACAGGAACAAGAACGTGAGCTGCTAATCTGTAGTGACTCTTAGCATCATAGCTAGACAAGAGAGTTAAGA